TACTTATTTTACAAATGATTTGTACAGCAAAACAAATCTATGAATTGTTTTATGTATTTCTCTATCAAATTTGCTAATTTTAAACTTTGAGTATAACTCTTCAATCAAAATTCTGCTGCATTGATTAGCTAAGAATTTTTTTATAATTTTTTGAAAAAATTTTTTGTTAAAAAATTTTTATGACTATTTGTTGCTAACTTTCTAAGTTAGATTACTCATAATTCTGAATCAGTCTGCTAGATTCAACACGTAGCTAACACGTCATCTTGTCTTGTCTTTTTTCTTTACAATGCCAAAATTCTCTTGCTAATACACTACTAATTCCTTTCTTTGCTATATTTTTCGTCAAATTTTACTTTTCATTGAGAAGGAATTTTTGCATCTGAAGGAAAAATTAATGATTGAAGTGCATGTTATTCAATTTCATGTCAAAGTTGTTCACTTCTTTCACTTTTTCAATTTATTGCCTTCTGCGCAGATAAGTAACGAAAGTAAATCAGTTAGTAAGTAGTCATTTTCTTGTCTTTATTATTATCATTACTGATTTTAAGCATTTCAAAGTTATTTTTAGTTATGATTGCTTATTTTTTGGCATTTGATCTAATTATAATCACGCATTTATTTTGTATTTTTGAAATAAAAATTAAAAAAATTTAATAATTTTATTTTAAATTAACATTACGGTAATACTGAAAAGTAATTAATATTATACTGAAAATAATACTAAAAAGTAATATTAATTACTTTTCAGCATTATTTGTTCAAATTGAATTAGCACTGCATTTTTATGATTAAAAAAATTAATAAATTTTACTAATTAACTTACATTTTACATGCATAAAAATATTTTACTATAATACTGCGCTCGAGCTTTAAATCAAATAAGATTAATAATTTAATTTTACAAAAGGTTTGTAATTTGCAAATTTTTACAGTTACATGTATTATGATAACTTGATGATTATTGCATTCATTGATGACAAAGTTTTAGTACTATTTTTTTACATTTTTCATTTACTCTTCCAGGTCAAAGGTCAAGGTATAAACGAAAATAATTATTATAGCTACTGTTGTAGTTTTGCATAATTAGCTTTGTAATTAATGCTATAATGGATTTACTAATACGATCAAATAGTAAAGGAATTCGATATGAAGGTTATGATGAGGAATTTATTCAATGTGTCTTCGAAGATGCCAATATTTCTGGTCGCAATGAACGATACGAATTTCGGTGAAAATTCAAAATTCTAAAATTTAATTGTGAATTGTTGAAAAATCTATTGAAATTATTTAATTCAGGCAATGAAAATTATAACTTCTACAAATTGTAAAAATTGTAATTACATACTTACTGACTGAATACTTTTATTTTAATAGTTATAACGGGCAGTTGAGAGTTGAAAAGCTAAAATTTTATACTTTGATGACTTAATTAGTAAATTAATCTTTGAGTAAGTATATGAAGTAAAAAATTATTAATTTATAAATGCAACTGTCTAATTTTGCTACAGTTCATCTAACAAAAGCATACTCAGAAGCATATGCAAATTTTTTCAACTTCACAAATTTCTGAATACTTTTTATTCATTAATCTGTAAAACTCTTTAATGTAGTAGTAGTGAAAGTTTCGATAAGATTTATTTCTTAATATAATTTATGCAACTTTAAGATGTCGGCCAAATTTAGAATGCTGCGGGCGAGTTTGCTGTATACCTGAAGCAAGCGCGATTCCCATATGGTAAATATATTTGCTTATTTGCATAACTTGCATAATACAGTAAGAAAATTAGTTCAAATTTTTAATTTAAAATTATAGGATGCTTCTAAAAGTTTGTTAATATTATTGTTTGCTGTTGTAATTACAAAAAAGGTACTAAATTATAAATTCAGGTTGATGGTATTATTCATAATATTGGTAATTCTTTTTCTTTCTGCACTTCTTGGTATCTTGGCTTGGTTTTATAGAAAAAACAAAAAAAATTACAAAGATTTGAACAAGGAAAATGGCCCAAAAAGTAAGTCATTGAAAATTTTAATTTTTACTTTACTTTTTCAAGTAATCAATCAATAAATACTTTTTCATATCATTCAATTGTTATTAAAAAGAAAATTTAAATACAATTTATAATAAATTATTATTCTTCAATTGTATTCAAATTTAATTTCTTCTCAAATAATTTCTGAACTTAAATTAACAATCTATTGCAAGTTTATGACAAAGCAAAGAATATTTTTAATAACAATTGATTTTTTTTTATAAAAATATATTCAAATTTTCTTATTTTTTTAATTGCAATATTGAAAATAATATTTCCATCCATTCATATATTATTAAGCATATTTTGGCTTATTTTCTTCAGCAAAAATAATTCTGCAACTTCTCAAGCATTTAACTAATAATATTAAAAGTGATTTTCAGAATTTTTTCTGCATTATTCATTGATATCAAAGTAATTTAATCTTAAAAATTTTAACAAAATTATAGCAATAATTAATTATTAAATGTATTTTGGCTAAATGCATTAAAAATGAATAATCACAGGAATAATTTTTATTAACAAGTATTGAGAGTAAAGTTGATAAAAAAATAATTTAAAATGAAGATCGGTTGATACTTTTTGACTTGTACACTTTTTTACTAATATTTTTTCTCTTGCATTTGTGTTGCAACCAAAAATTTTAATTTTATAATCAAACAATATTTGCGCCAAAGAAGAACTCTGACTTTGAAAAAAAATACTTACACAATTATTTATTTTGAATTATCTATAGAACATTGTTTGAAATTTGAATAATATAAACCAATAATAATAATAATAATAATAATAATAATAATAGTAATAATAATTAAATTTTTTGTATATGATATTTGGCGCAAAACTTGTGATACTAAAAGTGATTAATTTTACAATAATAATATTAATAATAGTAATAGTAATAGTAATTATATTTTTAATATATAGTATTTGGCGCGAATTGCATAAATTTGTGATAATAAAAGTGATTAATTTTCATGCATTTCTGATTTGCTTAACATTTTTATAATAATTAATTTCTTTTTGTCTCTAAAGGTTTGTAAACTTTACCCTAAAATTAATATTTTAACATTCTCTGCATCCAATCTATTCACCGTACTATCATTTACCCAAAGTATATTCTACATTTCAGTTGTTAGTGGGCAAAATCAACGAGCTCTAACAGGTTATCGTTCGTATAAACAAAATGAATCTCAAGAAGCAATCAGTACAGAAAATCTTGTACAGAAGAATACAGAAGATGATGCATACAGTAGTCCAAGCAATATCGATACTCAATATTCTAAGCGCACAAAAAATATTGGCTCTCGTAACCCTTTGTTTGCTACTAATACAGTAAGAACCCGTGAAAAATTAAAGCATGCAAAAAAAGGTGCAGAATATGATGAAGCTGAAATTAGTACAGAAAATAAAAAGATAGAATCTCAAGTAGAAGCAGTGAAAGAAAAAGAAGCATCAGAAAATGATGAAAATGCATCTCAAAAGCAAGTAAATACTTCGGGAATACGAATGAATGGATATCAGATAGCAGAGCGAATGCCACGTACTGTACAAACTTCATACAGTATTGTGCCATCACAACCATATTCAACTCGAGAAACTTTTGAAGAACGATTTGAAGAAAACTATTTAGTAGAAGAAGAAAAAACGAAATCAGATTCTGATACGAAAGATTTTTTATGAAGTAAAAAGTGTATATTGCTAGAAATTATTATTATATACTCAATAAACTTTAAATATATAATATCAAGAATCTTTTTTCAGGAATATTCATTCTCTTTTTTCAAATAATCTTTTGAAAAAAGAGAAAATGTCACAACTGGATTAATTATTACTTTGTATGAAAGTTGAAACCATGCATAGTTCTTAATTTTATATCATTTTTTGTCTTTACATGTCAAAGGTCGAATTGATACAAAGCCAATAAATAAGCATTCAACTTAATTTCGTTAATTCGAAGACTACTGAATATTTAAATTGCAGTATTGTGAGTAGTATTTCCGAATTAAATTTACCTTTAAGCTAAATCAACCATTCAGCATGCCAATTTGAATTCTGCACCTCATATGTATGTATAATTAACTCATGCTTTTATGTATAAAAATTAC